TTGGAAAAATGTGTGAAAAATTGCATTAAATGGCTATTTTGGGGCAATTTTTTGAGTGGGGTCCACTTCCGATTTGGGTCGGGTCAAAGTGGTTTCGGATTGTCCTTGTTAAGGGCTACAATTCGATATATGGTACGCTCAAAACGGATAACGGGTGAATGAGAAATCGCTTTTCGAAGTTTACCCGTTATAAGGGAAAAGGATGGGTTTCTAGTGTGTTAATTTCCCACACCGGAAAACCCAATGGATTTGCTACCCTTTTTAAAGGGACTCCCCCCTTATGGAGTTAAGATTCTTAAGGGTAAAGGCTCTCTCCACGCGCGCAGGGGGGGGGGGTGCAAATCAAATCCCGAATTCGGAGAAGAAAAAACCGCGACTTGCGTGCGCGGGCGACCTGCGGACACGAATGTCGTCGAAAAATCTATCTCTCAAGAGATACGATTAATTTTTGTTTTCTTCCCGAAACGTTTAATTTTTTCCCAGCGGCAGAAGTGCTCGGACAGAAGCCTACGGTGTTCTGATGGCAGAACCCCTCATGGGGTATTCTGATGGCCACCCATCAGAGTCATGGGGTATTCTGATGGCCGCCCATTAGAGTTGGGGGTACTCTGATGGCCGCGGATCAGAGTTGGGGTCTTCTGATTGGCCTCCGAGGGTGTTCTGATGGAGGTCTTCTGTCCCGCTTCTGAAACGTTACAACAATTAATGCCCAACGTTTATATCTTTTAATGCAGCGTTAAATGGACAGTTCATGGCCGATTCAATGCCCAACGGACTGGTCATTGATGTCCAACGTTCAGGTCCATTAATTCACTATTTTCATACAACAAATCCTCCTATATAATGGCTGGCAGGTGGTTTGCAACAACACACGTTCTTACACGAATTCTACACGTTTTGCACCTCTAAAAACACACTGCTAGCAATCTGCAAATTCCTTCTGTGTTCAGTCTTTGTTCTCGTTCGCTGGAACTTTTGTTTGAGTGCTCAAACACTAGTTCGTTGTCATCGTATCCTGGGAAACTATTGTTGCAACGCTCCTAGCACCGTGGGAGGCAACAAATACGTTTTAAGGACATCGTGCGTAGCACGAGCTTTGACAAATTCTGCTCCATCTCTTTTCTTCTTTTTCTCTAGTCATTTTAATTAATTAATTTATTTTAATTAATTTTCTTTATTTTCCGAAACACACCCAACAGGATGTAGCCTGTAGGAATGTAACAAACACAACTTTTATTTTTCACATTATGGTGCAACGACCTTTTTCCGCTACTGATTGTGCGGTAGTTTGCTGGTAGCAATTTGGATCAGACGGATTGTATGTGAACTCCGTAGTATCAAGCCCATACCTTTCTCTCATGCGTGCACTCCAAGCATCACTATGACTTGGTCGAGGGTACCGGCAGTAGACACACTTGAAGGTTGAGTTGGTGGCTTGATTAGAGTCTGATGGATACCCTTTACAAGTCATACTGTGAAGATTCTCACGAAAGCTCTCAATTTGTAGCTCCAGAGGTACTTATAAGCTAATATGTTAAATTCTCACATTTAAATTCCAGAACTAGCAACTCCTATTCAACGCCTCAAGCGTGCTCTTAGCTAAATTCATCTTCGTCAGAGAAAGGGAGTGTTTTTGCGCTGGAAGCAGATCGATGGGATGATGCAAGACGTCACTACCCCTGAGACCGAACTCTTGTCAGTTTCGCTGTCTCAAGGATGAAATCAAGAAGCAAATCGAAGGAAGCTATGAATCATATTTTTTTTCATTCACTCCAAACTTAGCATTCTTTCGCGGTGAGGATTGTCTCTATGATCATCCCACACCACAACTTTGTATTCAACCTTCACTTTCCACCTCCATTTTGCTTCTTCTTGCAATCCTACGGGTTATATTATTGGGTGTATGTTGCTTATCACCCTTCACCATATTATCTGGTTACAGAAGCAAAGATACAACAACTCATCACCTTCAAACACATACATATATCATCTAAAACTTCAAGTAAAATCTAATGTCGAATGAAAAGTGTCTGGTAGACTGATTAAGTAAAAAATGGGAGCCAAAAACTGAAATTAAGCTTGGGGAAGATTCAAAGTCACCTAGTGAATCTCACCTTGATGAAATTGCTATGGTTAAGATCCGAGCTCCTTAAATGGATGTAAATAACATAGTAACAAGTAACCACAAATCTACATTTTGAAAAACTTTACACTTCGGCCAATAACTCTAAAATAAACGAATGAATTTACAATCATCACATACTCAATGTCGAAAAAGTGATTTACATCATATCTAACTTTCTAAAGAGAGACTCAAAGTAAAAGATACATCAAAATTGCTCAAAGAAGCAAGAAACTAAGTTACTGTGAACTCTTCCAAGCCAATTATGTCCTCGAGTATCAGCAACTCTACAATTGGCATACTCTCATTCTTGTTAACCTTCAAGGATAATTATTCAAAAGCAGCACGGTCTAATGAAAGAATAGGGGTCCAGGTAATCGAAGGAAACCACGTGACATCTCAAGAATACATGAAATGCATCCGTGCTCTCAATGATGACCTGATTGTAACTTTGAAGTCCAAAAGACATAAAAACCTGTCGAATATCCAACCTATAAACAACAAACAACACAGAAGAAAATTTTAGGATCAGAGATTTTCCATTTTTAAATTGATATTAGCAGATAAAGCATTCATGCATAAATTTGTTGCGTTGCGGCTTAGAGCAGCAGCAGAATCACTGAATATAAATAGGGAAGATAATAACTACATAAATATGCTGGGTCGCTGGGAATAGAGTATATAGAGATTTTTTCAAGTCAAAATATAAATATATATTTATAGCCAGATGATTTAAGTGAAAAATACTTTTCCTATAGAAATGATTATCAATCTCGTCCCATACATATTCTTCACAAACAAAATTGATAGTTAAGCTTATTCCTTGAAAAAAGAAACAATATCGAAAGGAAGATGGTTGAAACTTGAAAACAAAGAGAAGATAAAAACTACTTCGTATATAGAAGTAAATGATAATATAATCATATATGAACTAGTTATTTAAAATCTAAAATTAACTAATAGAATAGAGATAAATCTGTTAACTAAAATCAACCCCGCCCCTCCTCCTGCCCCTGCTGCAAAACCTAACAATGTTGAATTGAAGAAGTCACAACTCATCAACACCTCAAGACTTAGGAGATGTTTCCTTCACTGCTAAAGTCACAGTTAGGTTAGTAAGACAGGTGAAGTAAACACGCACACTGCTTAAAAAGCCGCTTACTAACCGAAAGAGGTGCTTAAAGTGCCGCTTATTAAGCATACCACCCCCCATGTATTAATTAAGCGGCACTTTAAGCTTTTTCAGTTTTCGAATTTACCCCTTGCCCTTAACCTACTGTTATCCCTGCCCCACCTCGACCCCAACCCCACCTACCCTGACCCCACCCTACCCTTACCCCACCTACCCTGACCCCATCCTACCCCCGGACCCCACCCCACCCTACCCTACCCTTACCCCACCTACCCTACCCCACCCCGACCCCACCCCGACCCCACCCTACCTACCCCACCCCTACCCTACCTAACCGACCCCCACCCCACCCTACCCTTACCCCACCTACCCTACCCCACCCCGACCCCGCCCTACCTACCCCACCCCTACCCTACCTAACCGACCCCCACCCTACCCTTACCCCACCTACACTACCCTTACCCGACCCCACCCCTACCCTTACCCCACCTACCCTACCTTACCTGTCCGACCCCACCTTACCCCTACCCTACCCGATTACCAGACACCCCCTACCCTACCTAACCGACCCCCACCCTACCCTTACCCCACCTACACTACCCTTACCCCGACCCCACCCTAACCTTGGGTGGTGGGGTCAGGGTGGGGCCGATGTGATAGAGGCGCTAGGGGCAGGGTAGGTGTGGTGGGGTAGGGGTAGGGGGTGGGTTGGGTAGGGTAGGGGTAGGGCGGGGTTGGGGTAAGGTAGGGTAAGGTGGGGTCGATGTGGTAAGGGCCTTTGGGGGTAGGGGACTATGGGGTCGGGGGTAGGGTTGCGGTAGGGTGGGGACAGGTTAGGGTGGGGTCGGGTAGGGGTAGGGTCGGGTAGGTAGGGTAGGGTAGGGGGTAGGGGTAGGCGGTGGGTGGGGTCGGGGTAAGGTACGGTGGGTAAGGGGTTAGGGGTATGGGTACACATATTATATTATATACTTGTGTTCATGAATGTTTGTGTGTATATATATGTATAGGGTTATTTTGGACATTTTAATGTTAAGCGGTGTTTTAAACCGTTTGAAGTAAACACGGTCTTACAACATTGTTTATTTTATGCGCCGCTTATTAACACGGGTCTTAATAAGCACCGTTTAATAACCGGTGAAGTAAACATGTCCTTAATCTATTTATCTAACAATTTTTAGGCCTAAGGGAATTAGTGACGAATCAGCCTTTATTTATTATGACTATCCACGCAAGTACGCAACACATGAGGCTAGAGTGTCTTCTGCTCGCGAGGAAAGAAAGAAGAACGAACGACAAGGTGCAGATTACGGTTTGTAATCTATAAATCTAAGTGAACCTTAAGCTGAGCTTAGCTGAACTCCGGCACATAGAGTAGAATTTGCTTAGAATCGAAGGAGGATATTCATCAGGGATAAGAAACTTAAGTAACAAATAAGATCAGAATTAATTAGTGAAAAGTGAATAAATTAGAGATGATGAAACTCACCTGAGCCAATTGTGGTTGGATGGAAGATCAGGCGTTCCTTCCTTTAGCCATGGCTTTTTGGTTTCGCACCAAATAGAAAAATCAGGAGTTCCTTTCATCTTCAGCGATGAAAGCAAAAACAGATGCACCGCAAAATTTTCCTTTTTTTAAATATTTTTCTGGGCTCCTTCCTTCCCAAAACGGAGCCTAAACATCCCGTCATAATTTTCGAATTTGGCACGGTTAATTGCGAGCCAAACACCGAGCCCCTTGCGTACTGACGATTCCTTTCGTTAAATTACTTTGGCTCGGCGTTCTCCGTCGCTATGCCGTGCCAATAGCGAAAAAAACGTTGGCCAAATTACCCAGGCACGGTAATTTCCGAGCCAACTCTGGACGTATATAAGTAAATTTTGTGGTCTTAGACACACCCTAAAATCGTCTCCTCTGTTTGCCTGAGGTTGCTGTTCTTCTCCAAATTCGGTCCGAGGTTGCTTTTGTTTCAGGTTATGTCCCCATCCCCTCCATTACTGTATATTTTATGTACATGTACACCTAAGCTATCCGTTCCATCTCTTTGCCTGTTATTGATTTTTAAATTTTCTAATTTTAATTTACAAAAGTTGTTAAACATCATATGTGGAGTCTTGCTATTACGTATTTTAACGAAAATTATTAAAACGTAGTATATTTAATTAAAAACACATATTCTATTTATTTTATTTCGTTGTTTATTTAATACTTTTGTTAATAATTTTGTTTAATAAAGGGTACTACGTTTAATTTTAAAAAAATCATCTGAACTGCTAAATTATACATGTCAAACAATATACTAAATACTTCCTATGTGAATATATAAGAAATATCCAAGAACAATTTGAGTAACAATAGTGTTAATAGATGGTTAATGAAGGAGGGTTTTTGTACCTCAAAGTCTTTCTTAAAAGTTTTTTGAGCTCTTTTCTTACATTAAGGGTCTATGTTTGGTTATACAACAGTGTTATATGTGCTCCTTGTCACTTTATAAATGTAAACTGCTTAAAACTGTTTGATTGACATTCATATTTTTATAAAATTGTTGAAATTAAGGAAATATATTGTTATGCAATTAAACAGGATGTCTGCTAGCAGAGGGAGCTTTAGCTCTTTCAATTCAGGCAGAGGTCGAGGTAGGGGAAGGGGTGCAGCCACCCAAAATTCGGGCCAGAACTCTCATGTGAATGAGTCTGTTGAGTCCGTCCATTCAAGAAATTCTGGTGCCGAGCAAGATACTGGATTTACTTATGAGCCTGAACAATCACAACCCAAAATTTGGATCCGACCTTCTCAGATTCGGAGGTATAACTTCTGATTCTGAATAGCAATAACCTTTTATTCTGAGAAATGCAAATTGAATTATATCATTCTTATAATGGTGTTTCAGTAATCCTACTGTCCTAGACGCCATCATTGATACGATAACATCAAATTATCATGGGCCTTGGCACTCCTTCAAGCATGCTGAATCTAAGAATTCCAACAGATGGTGGCGTTTGTTTGAGGTAGTTTAAATATGTATCCGACCCTATATGGTATTCGACGGATAGTAAATGTTTTAAATGTGTATTATCTTTTATAAATGCGTTAAGTAATATCAGCATTTTTTATTTATGATTAGCAAAAATATCGGTGGGAACCCCACCATGGAGCTGCTATAAAAAAGAAGTTTGGTTCTCGTGGATCCGAATGGTTTAGTAAAAATATAGGCCGAGCTAGACGTGAGAACACGAAGCCAAATTGGGTTGCTGAAAGAGATTGGTTGGTTTTGAAAGAGTATTGGGCTAGTGATGCTTTTAAGAAAAAAAGTATAGCAGGTAAAAAAAATCGCAACACTGATGCAGCTAAAGAATCACAATATCGTGGAGGGCGCATTCCAGTCACGGCTCATGTGGCCAAAATGGTATATAATGTGATTTAACTGTTTTAATATAGTGTTTAGTATTAATACTCTAAAATTAATTATATCTGATGCAGCCAAATTGTGACTTTAACTATTCTAACTGCTTAACAATTTAGTTTTAATATTAACAATAAGTGTTTAACATTCTGTTTTAAAAACTGTTTAGATATGCAAATCTTTATGTGTTAATATCTGTTTTAAGACTTTTAACTGTTTAATTTGCTAACTGTTTAACAATTTACTTTTAATATTAACATTTTGTGTTAAACATCCTGTTTTAATTTGATAACACTTACTTTTAATTGTTTTAATTTACCAATGTGTGTTTAATATTCTGTTTTAGTATTAGTATTCCAACTGTTGATCTGTTTGTTTATATCTATTTTCTATTCTAAGAAATTGATTTTTAAAATTTATATTCTGATTTAGTATTTTCTGTTTGTTTTAATATATACTGTTTTCAAAATATAGTTAACTGTTTTTAATATTCTATCCGAATGTGAAATAGTTGTTTTGATATTAACTCTTTAAAAAATGTGACTTACTTGTTTTAATATTCTGTTTGAGTATTAATATTCTAACTGTTTTTGTATCTTTTGCGGCCTAATTCTTTCTCATAATTAGTTTTAATTTATTAAAATATTTGACTGTTTTTATGGTTTGTTTGTTTTTTTGTTAAAATGTTCTGTTCGATATTAATAGACTGAGAGTTTAAATCGGCCACCATTGAAAATTGAGGTGTATGAGAAGGTTTATGTGCCCAAGAACGGTGATCTGCCTGCTCGTGTTGTCGAAACCCGGGTGTGTATTTATTGATATTTAAATTCTGAAATAGCCATTTTTTTCTAATTTATTAAGATAATGAATATGGTTTTGGGCAGAATAAGTACAATGAAATGAAGGCCGTTGCTGAATCTAAAGGGAAGTCCTATGATAAAGACGATTCGGAGTTGTTTTGCAAAGTTGTCCCGAAGTATAGAGGGCGCCGTTATGGTACCGGGTCAGAAGCTGAATCACTTGAAAGCGTTGATGGCCCTAGCCGTGTCTGTGGGACAACTCAAGAGGAAATAGATCAGCGTATTCGGGAGGAGGTTGAAGCTCGCTTTGCGCAGCACAAGCAGCAGGTTCAAGCTCAAATGGCTGCTCAAATGGCCTCGATGTCTGGAGCGTTTATGGCTTATATGGAGCAAGTGCGCAGCAGCAACCCTTCCATCCCGTTGCCCGACTTTTCTGGTTTTCGAACCCCGACTTTGGTGCCCACGAACGGCTTCAACGGTGATTCTAACTTTCTGGTTTTCTTATGAAAACTTTCTGGACAACCTGTTGTGATTTTGGACATTTGGTGCTAGTTTTTGGACAATTGACTATGTAGCTGTGAACTAATTTTGAAAGTCTTATTTCTGGTTGTTTGACTTTGACTTGCTTTTGTTTCTGCATGTTTAGTGTAACTTATTTATTTTGGTATGCATGCCTAGGCATGGACTTGGTTTGGACCGCCCAGGCCTGGAACCGGCCCGGCACGCTACTGTGCGGAACCGGTCCGGGAAACCGGGGGCGGTTCCGGGCCTAGGCTCGGCCCGAGGGGGTAACTAGGGGCGGTTCCGGGTCATATAAAAGGCGAACCGACCCGGCTGGTCCTGGCCCGGTTCAGGCCTTTTTTTTTTGGTTTTTTTGGGTGTGGGTTGGGTTTAGGTGGGTGGGCTGGGTGTTTCCGAGGGGTTTGGGGGGTGGCCGGTGGGGGGTGGGGATTGAAATAAATAACAAAACAAAAAACATTAAACCGGAACCGTCTGGCCCGGAACCGGTAGACTCCCGGGTCGGTCCCGGGCCTCACCCAAAACCATCCATGCCCGGCAGGGCCCAGGCCCGAACCGGAACCGGACCGGGCCTGGTCCACCCCTCTGCATGCCTATAAAAAAAAGCATACACCGTATACATGTACGGTTTTACCGTACACGTATACGGTATATGTTTTTTTTGAAAAATGATTTTGATTTGGCTTTGATAAAATCCCACACATTTTAAAATTTTAAATTTGAATTATCGGAGTCATAATTTGGAGCCAAAATTTTGAATCTAAAGGCTAAATTCGGTTGGATTGTGATGGTTTTTACTGAGTCAATTTGGCACGGAAACTTGGCGAGTCAAATTAGTGTTTTTTTTGGGCAAAATTGTCGAGCCAAAGCGGAGTCAAAGACCGTGCCAAATTTGGAGCGGAATTGAAATTCTGTGCCAAAGCATTTGGCTCGAGCTAGTTGGATGGAATAAGAGATCCGAGCCAAACCCGATAGGCTGAGAATTTTCTGAAGGTTTCCCTGCCAATAACCGAGCTTATAACGATTTTTTTTTGGTAATGTATGGTGTTAAAATAACTTTTTATATAAAGTTTGAGCTATTTAAATTAGTTATGCAAATTTGGGTTGTTCATCTGACACCTCTTCAAAGTTGTAGATATTTTAATTATTTTTACCTTATAAAAAAATTAGTTTTTTTTACAAATCTAACTTTATAAGCATAAATGTTTGACACAGATAAAAGTGCTCCAGACAATACCAACGATTGTAGTACCCCATCCCATTTTATGAGTCATACTTTGATTTGTTACAACTTTTAATAAATTATTAATATAGTGTTTGAAAAAATAAAAGTTGTGGTTGACATTTGAGTATAATAAAGTGAAATATTTTAGACCACATATTTATTTCCAAAAGGAAAACATGAAAGTATTTTGAAATAATCCAAAAGGTAAAGTAAGACAAGTAGAATGAGACGAAGACATATAGTTACAAATTTTCAAAGTTTTTCACCTTTTCGATAAAGTTATGTGACAAGAAAAAATGTTGGTCAGAAAAAATTCACTTTAATAAAAAAATAAATGCGTGGTATGAACAAAATATGTTTCTCATTGGATTTTAAGTTATTATTTTTGTACACATTTTTAAAAATCTTTCTCACTGGCATTTTTTTTGTAAAGTTAGGGTAAAGAAAAAAAATATATATCGAAAATGTTCAATTTTACATCCAATTTTATAGACTAAAAATTTCAATCAATTTTTTTGACAAATCTAATTATACGGACATTAATGCCTGACAAAGACATAAATGTATACTCAGTATTTTTAAACATTTTGAAAGTTTTTTGCACGGATAAGTTTTCGAAATTTTTCCTAAAATATTACTAATATAAAAGTCATGGACAAAAATGTAATTTGGTAACTTATAGTTACTATAACTATGTTCAAAGTTTACATCAAGGTCACTACATCATAGTAACTTTGAACATAATTATAGTAACTAAAAGTTACCAAGTTACATTTTTGTCCGTAACTCTTACAAGATTAATATTAATGGAATTTTATCTAAATTTTCGAGTGAAAGTTATGTCACATAAAAAATGTTATCAAAAATTATAAACAATAAACGTCTGCTACGGACAAGAAATGTTTTAGAGGAGATTTAAAGTTATATTTTTGGAGACATTTTTCATAATCTTTCCAACCAACATTTTTTGCTTATAAAGTTAGGGTATACACAATATTTACAAAAAAGTAGTAAGATTAATGAATAATGTAGATATATTAGAAAAAAAAGTGAAAAAAATATAAAAAAGAATATTATATAACGGGAGTATATATTAATGAAAAGTCATAAAAATAGAAAAAAAAAATTTTATCCTACTTTTACGATTTTTTGGATTTAAATAAAAGAAGTAAAGTAAAACAAGGGAGGCAATTTTGTACATTACAAGGACTGCCCTTATAGTTGAAGACAAAAAGATACCGAGTAAAAACTAAAATGAAAGAAAATGAAAAGAAGAAAACACAAACGAAGCAAGAGAGTAAGACATCGAGAAAGTTGGGACTTCGTATACAGGGGAGTATGAACTATGAAGTACTTAGGATGTTTTCGTTTGAACTAAAATTTGTTAGTCTGGTCTGGTCTGATCTTCTCTGGTCTGATTTGATCTGGTATGGTCTGGTAATGTCTGGTCTCTGTGTATTTTATAACTACGAAAGTCTGGTCTGGTCTGATATGCTCTAGTCTGGCCTGGGACTGAAAACGTTCCAAAAGAAAACATCTTTACTGTGTATTGCGGAAGATGCCAAAGAAAAATGGAAAAAGTAAATAAAAATTGGAAAACATATATCAAATCAACTGATGACCTGCTATAGAGAATTGTAATCAGGTAATCTTAGATTATCAAAAGATCATATGGAAAGAACTTGCAGAAAGTAGATTTAATGGGAAAAGCTGATTGCACATTGAATGGAAGAAGATAGAATGTTCATCTCATTTGTACATTTGATCGTAGCTCAATATATATACAAGAGAAAGGAAAAGAAGAGTCTAGAAGAGAATACAACTAACTAACTAACAATACAAGCTAGTTAAATAACAGACGATTAACCGGGAGTAACTGCCATTGTGTTATCCTCTTCTTTCCGATTGTTCTTTTTCTTTTTCTTTCTCTAGTGTTAATAGCCCCCCGCAAGCTGGAGCACATAGGTTAATGAGACCCAGCTTGAGATGAATGTCTTTGTAGTATGTGGGACTTAAGGGCTTGGTAAGTGCATCTGCAAGCTGTAAAGTAGATCAGGAGATAGGAAGCAGCTTGATCAATCCTTTGCAAACTTGTTCACGAACTGTGTGACAATCTAATTCAATGTGCTTTGTTCTTTTGTGGAAGACAGGATTAGATGCTATGTGTAAAGCTGATTGATTGTCACAATATAGAAGAGCACGAGTCTTGACAGATGCACTGAGTTCTTGCAGAATATAAGTAAGCCATTGAATCTCACATGTAGTTTTATCCATGGCTCTATGTTCTGGTTCACAAGAGCTACATGATACAGTTTTCAGCTTCTTAGTCTTCCAAGATATTAGTGAGTTTCCCAAACAGATGCACAAGCTAGTGATGGACCTTAGCTTCTAGTATCTGGGCAGGATGCCCAATCACTGTCACTATATCCCTTTAATTGAATGGAAGAATAAGATGAGAAAAACAAGCCCATAGCAGGTGATCCTTTGAGATATGTAAGAACCTTTAGGGAAGCCTCATGATGCTTAGATGTAGGTTTGTCCATAAACTGTACAAGTTGTTGGACAACAAATGTGATATCAGGCCTTGTGTTGGTTAGATATATTAGTCTTCCAACAAGTCTCCTATAGGCTGCAGGATCAGAATAAAGAGGGTTGTTATCATGATGAAGATGAGTGTTAGGTTCCATGGGTGTGGATGAGGGCTTACACCCCAGGTAGCCAGCATCTTCAAGGATATCCAATGTATACTTTCTTTGATTTATAATGATGCCAGAATTCGATATGGCAATTTCAAATCCGAGAAAGAATTTTAGGTCACCAAGATTCTTGATAGTAAAGGCTTTATCAAGAAGCTCTTGGATGTGATCAATCTGTTGTAAGTCAGTTCCTAAAAGTATGATGTCATCAACATACACAAGTAAAGCTAGTAAAAGAATGTTGTTGATGTTTGCCAAATAGAGAATGATCACTTTTTGACTGAGTATATCCACACTGAATCAAGAATGTAGATAGTTTAGCAAACCATTGTCTTCCAGCCTGTTTTAAGCCATAGATTAACTTCTTTAGTTTACAAACTTCACCAGTGAACTCATTTTCTAGCCGGCCAGATGGTAACGTCATGTATACTTCCTCATTTAAATCTCCATGAAGAAAGACAATATTGGCAACCAGCTGTTTAAGGTACCCCTTATTAATAGCAACTAGGGCTAGAAGTAGCCTGACTATAGTGAGCTTGGCAACTGGTGAGAAGGTTTCTTTGAAATCTATTCCTTCAATCTGTGAATACCCTTTAGCCACTAGTCTGGCTTTGTGCCTTTCAATGCTAGCATCTGCCTTGTGTTTGACCTTGAATACCCATTTGCATCCTATGTGATTCTTTCAAGGAGATAGGTCAATGATGATCCAAGTACTAGTGTTCTTCAAGGCTGTAAGTTCATTATTGATGGCTTCCTTCCAGTGATCATACTGAACTGCTTGTTTGAATGTGCGAGGTTCAGTGTGATTAGTTGTCATGGATAAGATGGTAGCTTTGTACTCATGAGTTAATCTATCATATGAGAGGCAAGATGAAATGGGATAGGGTGATGTATGACTACCACTATAAACATGATTGATGAGTTTACAGTGATAGTCTTTTAGGTAGGTGGGAGGTTTGTGGTATCTGTTACTTCTTCTGGGGTTATTTGCGTCAGTGAGAGTGGTTTGGGTTGATGTTTGATGTGTGGGTGGTGTTAGGGATTGGGAGTTGGTAGAATTGTCTTGGTGATCTGTGCATGAGGAGTTGGTTTTAGGAGGAATAAAAACATCATCATACATGGATTCAGCTTGAATAGGAAGAGGTAATATGTCTGTCTGTCTGAGAAGATTGATGTCTAAAATGATAGGGAAATATTGT